GTCAAACTAAACGCTCTTTTATAGTGGTCTGTTCTAGATAATACCGAGAGAAGCCCTACAGACACCAGTCAAAGCATTTATACTGAGGTCAGGTACATCCAGGTTTGAATCCATTCACTCTCTGGGTAACCCTAGAAAATTTTAATATATTAAGGTTTCTATTTCTATAAAAGGATAACAGTATTTTCCCACAGAGAAGAGGAAGAGAGGTACTGTAGTTCTGATCTCGAATGTTCCCCAAAGAGCCATGTGCTAAAAGCCTGGTTGCTAGCCTGTGCACTATTGGGAGAAGGTGGAACCTTTAAGCTTGGGGCCTAGTGGGAGGCAGGTAGGTCATCAGGTGTGGGCCCTTGAAGAGGTTCCTGGGACCCCAGCCCTTCTCATCTCATTTCCTTCCTGGCTGCCATGAGAACAGACCTCCTCTCCCATGCATTCTGCCTTGAGGAACTGCCCTACCACAGGCCCAAAGCAATAGGGCCAAGTGACCGTGAACTGAAACCTCTGAAGCTGAACCAAAATAACCCTTTTTCTCCTTAAAAGTTGATTCTCTCAGTATTTTTTGACTGTGACAGAAAGCTAACTTGGGAGGGTTAGCGCAATAGGGGAGATAAAGAACTTGGATACCAGACTAACAAAAAACATCTGAAACGATAGCCATTTAGTAAAATTAAAGTGACATTAATTGAGCATCTTCCAGAATAATGATGGGGTGGGGAAGACAGGAGTGGGGAAACAAAGGAAATGGGACCCTTTGTCCTGAGGTCTTGGGGCCAATGGATCAAAATCAAATCCTTAGGTTCAGTATCTATTCCACACAGTACAACACTGCCCTCTAGTGACAAAGAGATGGAGATGTTCTCAGAGTATGAGGAAAGTAAGGAGCAAAAATGTAAATTTTCCTAGTCATGGAGACAATCAGTTCTCCAGATCATAGATATTATATCAGAGAACAATTTTTACTCATGAGTCACCTTCAAAGCAGTGACATAAAATTGGAAATGCAATAAGATTACCAAGGTTTATTATTAACCCAGAAGTTGACTATCTGCTAATTATATAGTGTCTCAAATAGGAAAAATAGTAATTCCCTTTGCACATAGTATGCCAGACATTCAGAGAGGAAAGCCTGGGTTACTAGTTTCTAGATTTTATTTTGGTTGTATAACAGAGAAGGCTTGAGCTTCAAGGATAACTTTCCTCTTTGTGAACCGTCTACAAACCACAGCTGATCACATATTGGTTAATGCACCTAATCGTGGTCAAAACTTAGGGTTGCACTGTTACCCAAACTTAGAAACAATCCTTTGCATTTGGGCCTCTTTTACCCTGTAGAGTGCCTGAGGATACCAGTACCCCCAGGCAGTTGTGGGGATGAAATAAAAAAGAACACAGAAATGCCCCCGCACCGTGTTCAACACAGAAACATCAAGTGTTAGCTGCTGTGATTCCAGTCATGGGTCCGTGGAAGAAAAACTGAAGCTATGATCATTACTCTTACTTCTGTGGTTTGAAAACAAGACCCAATTTACCTCGTTTCATTTCCTGATGTCTCAAAATTTGTCAATTTAAAGCAAGAATATCTTAGCATAACTTGGGCATTTCTGAGTTTATGGTGCTCAGTACTGATGACTGAAGCTTAGTAATAGTTTGAAACCCAGATTCTGATCTTTAACCCAGCACAAAGATGGTTCTCATTTCCATCAGAGATGAAATGGCCCTCCAGGCAATCTTTACCACCTTCCTTCTCCTCAACTGGTGTGGACGAAAACCCTAATACTTGGAAGTAGAATGATTCTGTAATAATTTTTCTCACTCCATTTTATTTTTACTAGAGTGACCTTATGCCCAAACACTTGTCACATGGTGATCAGCTGGGTGAATGCGTGAACCCTCAAGCCTACTACAGACAACTAGGACACACATACTCTCCAGACTTCTGCAGTTCTTGTTTCAATATCCTAAAGTCACTTCAATTTCCCAAAAGGAAAAGAGATACAAAACCATGACAAAGACACCTACTCACTGACATCACAGGTGAGTGCTGGGGAAGAATGTTTAGAAGGCAAGTGCTACAAACCCGTTATAAAGGTCCCAAGGGCCTGCGGTGCAGAGGGAAGAGGGAGCGCTACACACCTTCTCATGATATGGGCCCAAGACAATCCAGCCACAGAAGGTGTAACCCAGATAGATCATGCCAGCACAGGCACAGAACCGGAGAACTTTGGGCAGTGAGGCTTGCATTGTTAAAATGAGCACCTGGAAAAAAATAAGGGAATTAACAGAATGGGGGAAATAAAAAAGTAGCTATGAACCCAAAGAAGAAATGAGTCCCACCCAACCACAATGGTCCTTCCCAGCATCAAATGCTTACGTTATATGCTTGGAAATACCCCAGGTATCTGATGACACCAACCCAAACGAAGAGTGTAGATGTCCCAAGCAAAATGCTGCACAGGTCATAATTTGTGAGATTCTAAGGAATGAAAAAAAAAAGGCAATAAATAATTTACCTCGCTTTTGATGGATTGGAAAGAATGTTCTATCTGTCGCCCTATGGGTGCTACTATAAGTTTTTAAAAAGAATGCACAAAATAGAACGCAGTCCCCAATGTTTGTTTCTTGTTTCCTTTTAGTACTTCAATGGGTTGAACTGATTTTTTTTCCATATAGTCTGAAAAAGAAATCGCATTCACCACCAATCTAGGCATTATAGAAGGTGTTTATTAAATATCAAACAATACAATTCAGCTACCTGTGAAAGCAAATTCCAACATGATCTGCTAGTCCCACTCTCAAGGAATTCTAGGTCTAGTTGAGGACACAAACACATAAATGCAATTCTAATAAAGTATACTAAGTGCAATGAGAGAGACAAGCTCTTTCTGCTTGTCGAAGAGGGATTCTCTTGGGGGCGTGACCCCAAAGCAGAGCTACACCTGCAGGATGGGATGGAGAAAGCTCCACAGGCAAATGAACGAAGGCTGAACAGACAGACACATGACACCAAGAACCAGCAAGTTGTCCTGAACAGGCAGGATCAGAGCCAAGGTTGGGAATGGGAGGAGAGCCAAGGGACAGAGACAGAACAGGGTGAGAAAGACCTTGGGAGCCACTTCCTAAAGTAGGTCCTGGGAGGTAGGAAGGAGGGTAACAGCAAGATGGACACTTTTGAGAAAATTACTCTGAGCTGGGTGAATGGATCTGAGTGAAATAAGGCTGAAGATGGGAGACGAGAATGGAGCCTGCTGAGACAGTCCAGGCCAGAAGAGAATGGCCCAAAGAAGTCAGCAGCAGCCATGATGGAGAATATGGGCACTGTGGTGTGGGAGGCCAGGCTGGTGGGATCCATCAACAGTACAGCATGGAGGGCAGAAGGCTGGGTGAAGGAGGGAGCCCGCTCTCCTTCAAGCCAATCTCCTAGTAATGAGATTGAATCAACTAATTTCTGCAACGTGTCAGTTACTGGTCGACTGGTAAGTATTCCCGCCTTGCGCTCATCTGTCAGGGTGCCCAATAGTCATGGGTCATTACCACCAGCTCTTGATACATGTTCGGGGGGAAATGATTGGTTTATGGCTCAGTTTCTCCTTCTGCAACTACCATAAATGGATGGATGGATGAATAAGGCCCAAACAACCAATCTTCTGAAACTTCAGCTATTATTCCAAAGATGCCACCAGATTTCCTAGAGGATAGTCATAGGAGTATCAGTAGCCACGCACATCAGGTTCCTCACTCCCTTTATGAGGAAATTAAGAGACAGGAGGCCTCACTTGGATGGGTGTGAGAAAAGAGGAGTAGACCAGTCTCCATAAAGATTTTATATCTTAAAATGCCTGGCGTCATCCAGGAGAATATAAAGAACACAAGATTTGAAAGGGGTTGTCCTCACCTTTGCTTTGATTTCCATTTTTAATATGGATCCAATGATGGTCATGAGGTCGCTGATGATCACCAGGACGTACCATCCACTGATGAACTCCCACTGGTCAGCGTCACACACACGTCGCTTGTGCTTCTCCAGGAAGAAATTTAGAAATCTCTACAGCAAACATTTAAAAAAGCATCTCTTACAAATCCCATTGCCCTCGGGAAGCAAAAATAGGTGCAAAACAGTGCTCTTGCCTGTAAAATGACGTGGCATCTCTTTCCCAACTCGATAGTTCCATTTCACAGTGGGGGGTGGTGGCACACATTTTTCCTCATCATCTCCCCCAGCTGTAAGTAAGCTTTTGAGTGGCTGCTAAATTAACTCGAACATTAAATACACATGCTCCGGCTCCAGAAGACTCTTGTCAAAATAGCTGACACACAATCTGTTCCAGATACTTTGAATATGATCGACTCATTCAAGCTGAGGACAACTCTGGGGACTAGATACTATCCGTTCTGTCTTCTAAGTGAAGGAATGGAGGCCCAGGGAGGTTGAGCCAGGAACTGAATCCAGCCAGGAACTGGCTCCAGAGTGTGTGTTCCCAGCGTGCCCCCTCGCTTTGGCACAGAGAGGATCTTAACCTTGTACTCAGAATATGAAGAGGATTAGAGGGCAGGTAAGAGAGATGGGTGTTAACAAAGTAAGTTGGCTGAATCAAGATCATGGAAAACAGAACAGACTCTTGCTCCACAAATGGTGATTTCAATGAGTTCCCAATTCCTGTGACCCCAATAGGAATTTACACACATGCCACAAACCAGAATAAGACTGGCAGGGAGCTGGAATATATATATATTCATTAAGATCCCTGAGGGTAAAAAAGTAAAGTGAAACTCAGGGGAGAATTTTTTAACTATTTATAAAACAAAAGAAAGCATTTAATGTTTCATTATGACCCATTTACCAAGCTTCCCTGTCAAAACGAACTCTGATTTCAAGACAAAAGATGAAGCTCACACAAGCTATTACTCTGTTCATGCCTGAATTTAAAAGGGTCTCATTTATTCTGGAAACACCCCAAAGTGTGAGAGTTCACTTCTGTGCACCTGCACTTGTTAACTCACTATTAAGCAGGATCATTATCTGATTCCCACCTGACATCCCCAGAACCTGTACTTCCTTCCCACCCGCCAGGCTGGTTAGAGCCTCCAGGGAGGGGCCATCATTGGACAGAATTAAGTGAGCCAAGGGGCCCACCAAGAGTAGGGAGGGCCAACATCAGCAGCCCACTGTTTGGACAAGCTGAGGGTGCCTGCCCACACGGGAGGGAGAAAGTGCAAACACACACTTACCTTTCGTAATCGGAGAGCAAGAACAACAGACCTTGTGCACAGGATGAGGGAGGCCAGGCAAATCACAATGACAAATGCATCAAACACCAGGACATACTGAGGGTTTTTCTGAACTGAAGAACAAAACAGAATGTAAATGCTAAACACATCTCACCTGAGAATAACTTCCAGGCCAAAGGGCAGTCTGAACAGACGTTCGAATGGAAACTTCTGTTCCTTGTCAGAACACAATGGCAACTATCAGAAAGGATCCCACTGGAATCACTCAGAAGTTGGCCAGCAAGGCGAAGCATCCCCTGGTGTGAAGAGTCACGCGTTTAAAAATACACAAAGTGCTAATAAATGCACTGAAATTAACTTATGAATATTTACTGTAGCATAAATTCAACAGAATTCAACAGAAGGTGATCCATTTGGGCGGGCCTACCAAGTTGTTTCACACATCAATTTGCCATTAAAATGAGGAAAAATTAAAATGTCACCCCTGGAAGCCTCATTTCTGCTTCTCAGCCTCCCTGCTCACATTCCCAGTAGAGAGTGCTGATCTGATAAACGTATTATTGTGTTATTAAATTCTTCTGCATGTACAAGAAATAACTTCTTGGAATGGAAATGAGGAGGACAGTGGTAATCAGATTTTTGTTCTGGTATTCACAGGAGTAGGGAGAATGTGCCAGAAGGAAATGAAACTGTACCTTGAGCTTCTCTTAGACTTTATGGGAGCACCCCACACTCCAATCACTACCCTCTCCTTCCCCACCCTGTGGCCACACTGGTCTTCCTTCTTCCATCCTCTTACCTCAGGGACTTTGCACATCCTGTTGCCTCTGCCTGGGACAGCACCTCTCTCCCTATACACCTATGCCCAGGTTATTCATTTTCAGTGTCAAGTTTCGGATTAAACCCCCCTCCTTCTCAGAACAAAATTTCCTAAATTCTCATCTCTATTAGCCACTCTTATGTTCTTCCATGGCACTGGCTACAGCTACACACACCCAAAGACACTGGTCTTATATCCTCAAAGAAGACACGTTGTAGAGCACAAAGACAATGAAAAATGGGAAAGGACGTAAATCTCTGGAACCTGATGGCCTGGGTCTCAGGGAAGTCACTAATCCTAAGCCTCCATTCCCTCCGAGAAGTGGGTAGAATGGTAAAAGTTAATAACAACAACAATAAGACAAATATCACGGGGCTGTCGTGAAGATTACAAAAGTTCATGTATGAAAAGCACTCTGAAGAGCCCTAGGGAAATGACAGGAGCAAACACCTGCCGTGCTTACCATTTGATCCTTCAGTGTCCATCTTCCCCAGCAAATGACTGGCTGTCTCTGTGAAGCCGGGTCCCTGAGCAGTGTTAAAATACAGCACTTGCGCCTAGCATCACGCTTTAGCAAGCTCACAAATAAGTGAAGAGCTTCATGCGGAACATGAGCAGACCACTAAGTGGTCTAAATTAGAGCTTACGAAAATCTGAGCCAAATCAGAGGCAGAGGGTCAAGAGAAAGCAAAGAGTTTCGAGAAATGAAGGAAGGTCATGAGTTGGACCTCAGGTGGACCTAGGGAAGGAGGACAAAGAAGGCTGAATGACAGTTTTTTGTCTTGGGTAAACTGAGTTCAGTCTGGACAATCAAGACCAGAAAGGATGACATGGACTAGGGACAGGGACAGGTGACCTTCAGAGGAGAGTCTAGGTCAGAGTGCTCTACGGCGACTTTCAGCAGAGGAGGCATTAAGAGAAGGACCAGAGCACCCTCAGATTTAATAACACAAGGATGTGAGCAACCCTGGACCAGTGTCTGAGGGCAAAGTGGCTCATCCAGTAGGGCAGGAACACAGCTGGCTAATAAATGTGATTCACCAGGCACCTCTGCTACAAAAACAGTGTGAGCCAGGCACAACAACCTATGCAAAGTGAGTGCCCAGCACCAAATGCTCACAGCTGCTTTTAGCCATTTTATACTGAAGAAACTTAAGTTATCTTGAAATGTCATCTGACAGATAGATAATAAGACAACATAGCTCTACCACAACACAGCCCTCCCCTACTCTTGGGCCTAGGGCAGAGAAAATGGGAAGTTCTTGGGAAGATGAGTCAGAAAATCCTATGAAAGACAAAGACAGCTTCTGGTAACTTTCTTTATAACCTATTCCTAGAACAAAACCTGAGATTGCTTTCATTGAGCCTAATCTGCAGATAGGAAAATAAACAGACCTAGAGAGATAAACCTGCCCGCCCAACAGAGAATCCGGCATTCTATTTTTCCTTGAATTACTGAAAAGACAAGTCTGGTGTATTAAAAAAAAAGTAGAGTTTTATAAACACAGCAATTGCTTTCTCACCCCATTGGAACTACGTTACCCTACAGGAACATTTTCCAGATGTGGGTTTAGAAAACACTAGTCCAGAAAGATGCTCTACTGACCTGATTAGGAGTGTCCCACACCCAACTCTACCCTTCCCTACCACTGGTCTGCCTGAGGGGCTGTAACCCAGGGTCACCTAACTTATCACCCTTTCCTTTTAATACCTGTGACATGCCCATCAAGGGAGAATCCTGCCCACTAATCTCCCCAAGCCTCCCATCCATGAATTGTTCTACTTACAAACTTAAGTTAGACACTCCAGTCAGAATGGCAGTTATCAAGAATATAAGCAACAATACATGTTGGCACCCTCATACATTGCTGGTGGGACTGCAAATTGGTGCAACCAATCTGGAAAGCAGTATGGAGATTCCTTAAAAAACTTGGAATGGAACCACCATTTGACCCAGCTACCCCACTCCTTGGTTTATACCAAGGACTGAAAAACAGCATACTACAGTGATGCAGTCACATCAATATTATAGCATAATTCACAGTAGCCAAACTGTGGAACCAACCTAGATGCCCTTCAATAGATGAATGGAAAAAGAAACTGTGGCATGTATACACAATGGAATATTACTCAGCAATAAAAGATAATAAAATTATGGCATTCGAAGGTAAATGGATGGAGTTGGAGAACATCACGCTAAGCAAAGTAAGCTAGTCCCCAAAAACCAAAGGCCAAATGTTTACTCTGATAAGTGGATGCTGATCCATAACGGGGGGCCATGAGATGAGTGGAGGAACTGTGGATTGGGCAAAGGGGAGGAAGGAGAGGGGAGGGGGTATGGGGTAGGAAAGATGAGGGAATGAGATAGACATTATTACCCTATGTATAAGTGTGATTGCAAAAAATGGTGTGACCCTACTTTATGTACAACCAGAGAAGTGAAAAATCGTGTTCCATTTGTGTACAATGAATCGAAGAGCATTCTGCTGTCATGTATAACTGATTAGAACAAATTTTTAAAAATTAAGTTACAGGAAGATTGTAATACATGTGGAGATGGACATCAGAAGTCATAAAAGTCAACATGAGTCTTGTATGTGAAAAGGGATATTTCCTCATATTTTGCTTTGAGATAATACAGATAATGGCAAGAAGGAGAGAGAAGTGTATGTGAAAGAAACTCATAACACTTTGTAAGTAGCATCAGGAGTCCACCAGATGTCGCCCTTGCCCTCCTTCCCCCTTCCCCCAAACCTGGGAAATCTCAACCCACTAGATAGCTTCACATGAGGCGGGGGAAATTTCCTAAACTGTTTTCCAAACTTCCGATTTTTAAGTCTTCACATCCCCTCATTTTATTTTAAATTCGTATTCTCCTAGCGACAAAGAATGGCTTCTTAGGATGCAGTTCCAGAGAAACACATGTAAATTGTTACTGTTTCCACTCTGCGGTGTGAGGTTTGTATTTCCCCTTGTTGGCCACAGGAGGGAGCCACGGCGGCCCCGCGCTGCGCAAAGGCAGGAAAACCCCAGGGTCTGTGTGGAAGCAGCTGCTTTGTAGACAGATTTGATCTACCACTCATTCCCTCATTTTGACCTTCATACTGACTATTCCTAATCACAATTTACATGCGACAAAGGTTAGGTTGAGTTTTTGTTTGTTTGTTTGGGTTTTTTTTTTT